ATCAGTTAGAATGGCCAAAATTGGGGTACCTGAATGGCTCAGTGGGTTAAGGCCTCTGCCTTCGGCTCAGGTCATGATCTCAGAGTCCTGGGATCGAGTCCCGCATCGGGCTGTCTGCTCTGCAGGGAGCCTGATTCCCCACCCCCCGTCCTCTGCCTGCCTCTCTGCCTGCTTCTGATCTTTGTCTGTCAAATAAATAAATAAAATCTTAAAAAAAAGAAAGGCCAAAATTAACAAGACAGTAAACAACATGTGTTGAAGAAGATGTGGAGAAAGGGGAGCCCTCTTAAACTGTTAGTGGGAATGCAAGTTAGTGTAGCCACTTTGGAAAACAGAGTGGAGATTCCTTAGGAAATGAAAAATAGAGCTACCCTATGACCCTGCAATGGCACTACTGGGTATTTATCCCAATGGTATAGATGTAGTGAAATGAAGGGCCATCTGTACCCCAATGTTCATGGCAGCAATAGCCACTGTCACCAAAGTGTGGAAAGAACCAAGGTGCTCTTCAGCAAGTGAATGGATAAAGAAGATATGGTCCATATATATAATGGAATATTATGCCTCCATCAGAAAGCATGAATACCCAACTTTTGTATCAACATGGATGGGACTGGAAGAGATTATGCTGAGTGACAGTATGAAAGTTGTTCAAAAAGTTGAAAATCGAACTACTGTACAATCTAGCATTTGAACTACTAGGTATTTGCCCAAAGGATACAAAAATTCTGATTCATTGGGGCTCATGCACCTTGATGTTTAATGCAGCATTATTATCAATAGCTAAATTACAGAAAGAGCCCAAATGTCCATGAACTGAAGAATGGATAAAGAAGATGTGGCATATATGTATGTGTGTGGATATATATATATCCACACACCAATAAAAAGGAATATCACTCAGCCATCAAAAAGAATGAAATCTGTACATTTGCAAAGAAGTGGATGGAGCTAGAGTGTATTAAAGTAAGCAAAATAAGTCAGTCAGAGAAAGACAGGTACCATATGGTTTTTCTCATATGTCAGTTTAAGAAACAAAAGAGATGAAAATATGGGAAGAAAAATAAAGAGAGGGATGCAAACCATAAGAGAGACTTAACCATTGAGAAAAAACTGAGGGTTAATGGGGGGGAGGTCAGCAAGTGTTGGTCTAAATGGGTATTGAGGAGGGCACTTGTGTTGAGCACTGGTTTTTATATATAAGTGATGAATCAATAAATTCTATTCCTGAGCCAATATTACACTATATATTCATTAAAATTTAAATAAAAAATTAAAGAAATAAGGAGTTGAATTAATTATGCCTCCTTCCCTTCCCTTCCAGATTCTCAACCAACTACAATATATACATAGGAATGGAAGACAACTTAAAATATCATGTTCAATATATTAAGTGAAAAAACAAAGTTCAGAATAGCGTGTATAGAATGTCATAATTTGTACTAAAAAACTGATACACACATATACATATTATGCTTTTTGAAAACATATATTATCTCTGGAAGGACACACTAACTGGTAGCATTGGTTAGTTTCAGAATGTGGGACTGGAGGGTTGAGGTTGGGGGAGGGGAAGGAAGAACAGAGACTTTTTACTGCATGCTCTTTTTCATTGTTTGAATTTACTAGAAGGATGTGGGTCACCCCCCACAAACAACCTATATATTAAACAAATGTTCTAAAGAATAAAACTATATACCACCTTTATTGATGGTAGGTCTGGACTGGAGAATGTGGTTTGGACCTGAGCACAACATGAACTTCCACTGCCAGTCTAAAGACAATGGGATCCCTCACCCCAGAAAGATGGCAGGGGTCTACAGAGTGGATGTTTACCCAGCCATGTAATGAAGGGCTGCAGTCTTTTCCATGGTTTGCAATGAAGAATGGATTCAAGAGCCAAGAGGGGCCAAGGTTGCTTATCTATAACCTTTTTTTTTTTTTCAATTTCATCAGATATTCCTCCTCCCATATAGAAAACTGAATGAGTATAGCAATTGGAGATGGATAGAAATTTTCTTCCAAATATTTTTGAGAGGGGCAAGTCTTTTACTTTCTTTCTTTTTTCCTTGAGTCAGAAACACAGAGGCAGACAAGTCCCTTCATACCCTTGGGCATTTTTTTCTCTTAAACCACAGTGATTAATATCCAAGACAATCGTTAACAAACAGGTTTTGACTGCCCCATTTGGAAGAGACCAAGAATATTTAGGAATGTTATGCTCCCATCTGTGTAAGACTGGTGAGCCATTCTGCTTTTGGCCCTAGAAGACCCTGAAAGAAGTCAAAATAGAACATTAATTAAATTAACTCCAAAGCTATATTACATCTCAAGGTGAGAATTCATTCACTATTTTATCCTCAATTTACAATTAAGTCCAGCCACATTATTCACTATAGCTTACAAAGATTACAAAATGAGCCTCAAAAATAGCATTAAACACTCTAAATAATACAGCATAATAAAAATGCCTTAATTTGAACTGTATGAAACCAACACCAACTATTACACTCTAAGGGAGAAATGAATGTTCCAATTTAAATTTCTATTTTAATGCCCAAAGGCAGTAAATTCTAAAATTCTTGCTTTCCCAATTTTTTTTTTTTCATTTCAGCCATACAGATCTCATAAAGTTATCTGTACAGGTGTGTGTGTGTGTGGGGGGGGTCCCTCAGCAGCTTCAGCCTGACTGTCTTCCTTTTGATTGGATGTAGTTCCTTCAAAACTTCAGGAGCTGAATTAATCTAACCCCACAACTGCATGTCATATGTTTTTAAAAGCGCACAGGATCAATAGGACATAAGATTATTATAGTATCAGCCTCACATGCAAAAATTAGAAAGCACACTAATCCCCAGCTACTAGAGCAGATATCCCAAGCAAATTTATGTCCTCAGGACTTAATACAATAGGTAATATGACCCACGTTGCTGTTATCAAATATCTCAGCAGAAACTTAGTGGCAACAAGAGGAAGAAAAGTAGAGAAAACAGGGAAGACAAGAGAGTATCTTCTTGGTGTCAGCCCCCGCAGGATATCAGTCTGTGCTGGTAGTCTGGACTCCATGACCTGTGAACTTAAACTAATTGGGTTAATTGTACTGTTGGGAGTCTCAGTCATGAAGTTGCAGTAGTCCAAGTCCTGTTATTGCTAAATGGGGCACATATTAGAAGCCCAGTGAGAAAGCACTGTCTTTGGCCAAGTGCTTCTCTATAAAATCTTGTGTATCTTCAAACTTGCTTTCTTAGGCTTAGTTTAACCTTCACTAATGCCTTTAATAATGGAGCATACATGGACCTTTTTATTACCTATTTTTCTGCTGCAGTGGGGCTCACCTTTTTCTACACATAACTTTCATAGGACCAGCCAAGAAATGGTGTAAAGTTAAAAATAAAAAAAAAAACTCTAACAAATAACTATTATATTTCTATCTACCAATGCTAGCATTTAAAACATCAATAAGTGTATTGATCACTAAACACTGATTCTAATCCATGCTAAGATACCATGAAAGAGTAAAGCCCATTTTCAGTCTTTCTTACTTTTAGCAAGTGCCTTGCCCACTTCTTGGAAACCCCCTAAGAATCATATCTAAAACCTAATCTAAAATTTTTCAGATTCTCTTTCTTTTTAAAAGAAGACTTATTTACTTATTCATTCATTCATCAATTCATTCATTCATTCATTCAGTTAACAGAGAGAGAGAAAGAGAGAGAGAGAACACAGGCAGGAGGAGTGGGAAAGGGAGAAGCAGGCTTCCTGCTGAGCAGGGAGCCCAACAGGAGGCTTGATCCCAGGACCCTGAGATCATGACCTGTGCTGAAGGCAGACACTTAACTGACTGAGCCACCCAGTTGCCCCTCAGATTCTCCCTTGAGATAAGAAATAAATCTGTATCTTAGTCTGATTCCAGATTTTTGTTCTTTCATTTTGAGATCCTAGACAGAACTGTCAATCCTTGTTATACCCAGTATTCACCATGTAACTAGAATAGAGGTTGGCTTAATCCTCCATTGAGCTGGCAGAGACCATTTATGGTAAAGCTGGCCTGCACAGCCTGCATCTGTTAAAACCCACTCCCTGTTTGCAGGCATCAGTCAGAGTTACTGCAGACAACAGAGACCCTAATGCCATGGATGGCCAACTTTTATTTGTCCACTTGGAGGTTTATTTCCAAATGCTTGCCTTCCTCACAATTTTGCTAGATTTCTCAGCCTATGCTTATATACTAAAATGCAAAGTAATTACCCTCTTGATTTTGAACCAAGTTGAACAATAGTGAAAGAATAAGAAAGAGAGCAAAATGTTAGCCTTACTTTAATTCAACTGGGAAAGGAGACTAAAATGGGCTTCCCACTCCTCCCCAAATTAGACTTTTGAAGTCATCTGGGAGACAGTTGAGGTTGCAAAGAGACTCACCCAGATAGTCATATTGAATATCTCAGGAAGCTTCACACTTCAAGGAGTGCAGAGAGTTCAACTGCCCAAAAGAATGAGGTGAGAGGTGTTCAGCTACCTTTAATCTATTATCACCACCCAAAATGAAAATAAGGGCCACTGGATGTCATGTTTTACCCTTTTAATTATTAGACAAATCAATCATTCTCCTGTGGAGAAGAAGTAGTTAAAGTTTGGAGAGATGGGCAAAAGGTTTCTTCAAAAAATATTTGATATGGTGAAAGTTTCTTCCTTCCTCCCTCACTTCCTTCCTCCCTTCCTTGCCTCCCTCCCTTCTTCCTTCCTTCCTTTTTTCTTCCTTCCTTCATTCTTTCCTTCCTTCCTTCCTTCCTTCCTTCCTTCCTTCCTTCCCCTTTCCTTTCCTTTCCTTTCCTTTCCACTTTCTTTTTTTTGCTTTACTTCTTTCCTTTGCTTTTTTTTTCTTACCAGGCAAAAGTATACAAAATGGAGAAGACTGTTCTTACAAATGAGAGAGCAATCAAGACCTTTTTGTATGGATTTTACAAATAGTCTCACATATTTGGCAAATTTCAAGATAATCTCTAAGATGTTTTTACCAAATCATAGACATAGATATGGAAATCATCATCAAATTTGATGAAGTACACAGAGGGTTTTACTTCTGCTTGATGAATGACCATGCCAGTTCTCTTAGAGTCATCCGCTTTGGCATATTCCAGCTGTTAGCCTACAAGGCTGTCTACAACTTCTCCTGGCTCCCCCTCTGTAAGAGGAGAATCATTGGAATCTGGAAGGATGTGTGGGTCACCATCTTTATAATAATCTAAGAGCTGATACATGTATAATACAGAATCTTTCTCATAGGTAATGTAAAACCATGTGTTCATGACAGGTGCCTGAGCTAAGACCATCCACTTACATTCATTTTTGGAAAGTTTCTCTGTCTCAGAAATATGTTCCAGTGCTTTGCCAATCATAATTTCTATTAAGGGTGTATCACTGATTCTCTAGGTTGCAATTCTATTAGGAAGGGCTTCAAGTGATGACACTCTTTCATCTCTGTGAAGTTTCAATCCATAAACACAGTCAAATCCATCATATTTTGTAAGATACAAAGAAAGATTTACAAGTACCTGATCCAGAATGGTTCCCTTCCACTGTGTTAGGGGTTCATCTCCATCTTTCCATTCATGCCGAATTCTGCCTATAATGCTTCCCTGAGGCTGGGATGTGGGCCTGTGCTTCTTGTGTGCAGCCTTTCTCTTCATCATGGTAACAGACACACTGGTATTTCCTGTGGCTGTCCTGGGCTGCTGCCCTGCAGCCTTCTTTCCAAATGGGGTTTTCACACCTGTGAGGAGCACAGTAGCAAGACAGGCAAAGAAAGAAAATTGAGAAAAAATATATTCAATGCATGACATGATGAGCTTTTCTCCTAGTTACTGCACTCCATCACCTGTGCCTAAGTTTTCCCTGAAAACTATACAGGAAAGCTGGAAATCAAAACATCCTGGCTACGTGCCTGCATTAACCTTATTCCCTAGTTCTTTCTGGCTATGCTAGAGTAAGAGAGCTGTGGTTGGGGCAAAAGAAATAGAGGGCACCCGTTCATTCTTCTTCCCATTGTCCAACACTTTCCAGGCCAAGGGACATAGACTCACCAAAGCCGCAGATTGTGGGCTTTGTATGCCCAAATTGGGCGCCTTGCTGCTGCCTCTGCTGTGGATCCTCCTGTGGCCAAGGAGTATCAGCAGGATACCAGCTTTTTGCTTGTAAGAGCTGGGAGGGGAGAATGCATAGGCAGGAGGGGCAAACAAAGAGGATACCACATTTGGCTCCCACCAAATGCTGCGGTTGCCAGGGTCTCTTCCTTCTTTCTGTAGCACAGCTTTCTGACAGAAGACAAGCCTCCGTTACTGCCAAACACCATCCTGCCCCTTCTAAGTCTCATGCTCACCACTGTCCTGGATATAGGAGGCTCTCTTTGGCACCTTGCACACCCCTTTCAAAAGTCAGAAACCCCCTACCAAAACCACCTAAGTGCTGGCTCAGCACTTCAAGGTTTCAGGGTCCCCACCCCCACCTTAGTGTCACTGCCCCATCTGCTCTACATCTTCTAGGAATTTGCCTTTATTTTGCTGAGCTCTCCTAGAGTTGTTCCTTATATACAGACACCTGCCTTTTCTGCCATTTAAGGGGATCTGAGATAGGACCAGAGAAATGTACCAAGGTTCAGTCAGCCATCTTGACCCAGTCTCTAAATAGTTTTTACTGATTGGTCATTCCTAGACTCCTTGAAGAATTTCTCCCCCTTGTTTTCCTCTTTTTTCTTTTCTTTTTCACTAATTGCAAAATAATTTTATGAACGTGGGTATAGTGTAAAATTCAGGAAATTGACATGAAGAAGAAAATGATCCATTGTAAGCACACCTCCTATTGTAAATGGTTTGTAGCAAAATATTAGCATGTTCCATTTTCTTTAAAAAAGTTTTTGTTTTTTTTTAGTTTATGAACATATAATGTATTGCTTTTTTCAGGGGTACACGTCTGTGAATCTCATCATAGCACATATCCTCCCCAATGTCAATTACCCAGCCACCCTGTCAGTGATCCCACCCCCCAGCAACACTCAGTTTGTCTCCTGAGATTAAGAGTCTCCTATGGTTTGTCTCCCTCCCCAGTCACATTTTTTTAATATTATTTTTTATTTTTTATAAATATATAATGTATTATTAGTCCCAGGGGTACAGGTCTGTGAATCGCCAGGTTTACACACTTCACAGCACTCACCATAGCACATACCCCCAGTCGCATCTTGTTTCATTTTCCCCTCCCTTCTCCCAACCCTGCACTGTCTCCCAAATTCCTCATATCAGAGAGATCATATGAAAATTGTTTTTCTCTGATTTACTTATTTTGCTTAGCATAATAGCCTCTAATTCCATCTACATTGTTGGAAATGACAAAATTTCGTGTTTTTTTTTTGTGGCTGCATAGAATTTCATTGTATATATGAAATATATCTTTATCCATTCATCTATTGAGGGACATCTAGGCTCTTTCCATAGTTCGGCTATTGTGGACATTGCTGCTATAAACATTGGGGTACATGTGCCCCTTCTGATCATTGAATTTGTATCTTTGGGGTAAATACCCAGTAGTGCAATTGCTGGGTCCAAGGATGGCTCTCATTTTAACTTTTTGAAGAAACTACATACTGTTTTCCAGAGTGGCTGTACTAGCTTGCATTCCCACCAACAGTGCAGGAGGTGTCCCCTTTCTCTGCATCCTCTCCAACATCTGTTGTTTCCTGACTGGTTAATTTGAGCCATTCTTACTGATGTGAGGTGGTATCTCATTGTGGTTTTGATTTGTATTTCCCTGATGCTGAGTGATGTGGAGCACTTTTTCCTGTGTCTGTTCGCCATTTGGATGTCTTCTTTGAAGAAATGTCTGTTCATGTCTTCTGCCCATTTCTTTTTTTTCTTTTTTTTTTTTAAAGATTTTTTTATTTTTCTGACAGAGATCACAAGTAGGCAGAGAGGCAGGCAGAGAGAGAGAGGAAGGGAAGCAGGTTCCCCGCTGAGCAGAGAGCCCGACACGGGGCTCGATCTCAGGACCCTGAGATCATGACCTGAGCCGAAGGCTTCTGCCCATTTCTTGATTGGATTATTTGTTCTTTGGGTGTTGAGTTTGATAAGTTCTTTATAGATTTTGGATACTAGCCCTTTATCTGATATGTCCATTGCAAATATCTCTTCCCATTCTGCCGGTTGTGTTTTGGTTTTGTTGACCATTTTCTTTGCTGTGCAAAAGCTTTTGATCTTAATGAAGTCCCAATAATTCATTTTTGCCCTTGCTTCCCTTGACTTTGGCGATGTTTCTAGGGAGAAGTTGCTGCAGCTGAGGTTGAAGAGGTTGCTGCCTGTGTTCTCCTCAAGGATTTTGATGGATTCCTTTCTCACACTGAAGTCTTTCATCCACTTTGTGTCTATTTTTGTGTGTGGTGTAAAGAAATAGTCCAGTTTCATTCTTCTGCATGTGGCTGTTCAACTTTCTCAACACCATTTTTTGAAGAGATTGTCTTTTTTCAATTGGACATTCTTTCCTGCTTTGTTGAAGATTAGTTTACCATAGAGTTGAAGTTCCATTTCTGGGCACTCTCTTCTGTTCCATTGATCTATGTGTCTGTTTTTGTGCCAGTACCATACTCTCTTGGTGATTACAGCTTTGTAATCTAGCTTGAAGTCTAGATCTAGGTGGAATTGTGATGCCACCAACTTTGGCTTTCTTTTTCAACATTCCTCTAGCTATTTGAGGTCTTTTCTGCTTCCATATAAATTTTAGGATTATTTGTTCCATTTCTTTGAATAAAATTGATGGTATTTAATAGGGATTGCATTAAATGTGTAGATTGCTTTAGGTAGCATAGACATTTTCACAATACTTGTTCTTCCAATCCACGAGCATGGAACGCTTTTTTCTATTTCTTCCTGTCTTCCTCAATTTCTTTCATGAGTACTTTATAGTTTTCTTAGTACAGATCCTTTGCCTCTTTGGTTAGGTTTATTCCTAGGTATCTCATGATTTTGGGTGCATTTGTAAATGGGATTGACTCCTTAATTTCTCTTTCTTCTGTCTTGTTGTTGGTGTATAGAAATGCAACTGATTTCTGTGCATTGATTTTATATCATGACACTTTACTGAATTCCTCTATCAGTTGTAGCAATTTTGGGGTGGAGTCTTTTGGGTTTTCATCTGCAAAGTGTGAGATTTTGACTTCTTTGCTGATTTGGATGCCTTTTATTTCTCTTCGTTGTCTGATTGCTGAGGCTAGGACTTCTAGTACTATGTTGAATAGCACTGGTGATAGTGGAGAGCTCTGCCATGTTCCTGACCTTAGGGGAAAAGCTTTCAGTTTTTCTCCTTTCTCTTGAGAATGATATTCGTTGTGGGTTTTTCATATATGACTTTGATGATATTGAGGTATGTACCCTCTATCCTTACATGTTGAAGAGTTTTGACCATGAAAGGATGCTATATCTTGGAACACTGAAAAAATAAAATAATATTTAAAAAAAAGAAAGGATGCTGTGCTATGTCTAATGCTTTTTCAGGATCTATTGAGAGTATCATATGGTCCTTGTTCAATCTTTTATTAATGTATTATATCACATTGATTGATTTGCAGATGTTGACCCAACCATGCAGCCCAGGTCACTTGGTCATGGTGAATAATCCTTTTAATGTACTGCTCGATCTTATGTTCGATCCTATGGTTATCCTATGGTATTCTGATTAGAATTTTTGCATCCATGTTCCTCAGGGATATTGGTCTGTAATTCTCAAATTTTGATAGGTTCTTTGTCTGGTTTTAGGATCAAGGTAATGTTGGTCTCATAAAATGAGTTTGGAAATTTTCCTTCCATTTCTACTTTTTGGAACAGTTTCAGGAGAATATGTATTAATTCTTCCTCTTTTTTTGGGGGGGGAGCAATATTTTTAAATTGTTTTTCATGGATGTTCTCATCTTAATTAAAAATCAAACAGATGTAATTTAACAACAGGAAAGGATGATGATTTCAGATAATTGACATTACAAGGAGATCTTGCTGGTAACTCAAATATGCATGTCTTTATTTCATAAGAAAAAACCTCTTAAAAACCCAACACAGAAAGTCCTTCTGAAGTTTACATTTTACTCACTCATGATTTACATGAGATAGAAATAATCTCAATATGGTATTTCAAGTTAAATTTAGTGGAAACATAATATTGTTAGCTTTAGGACAGATATTACCTTTAAATGTTTAGTAGAATTCCCCTGGGAAGCCATCTGGTCCTGGCTCTTGTTTGTTGGGAGACTTTTGATGACTGCTTCAACATCCTTACTGGTTATGGGTTTGTTCAGATTTTCTATTTCTTCCTCATTTAGTTTTGATAGTTTATAGGTCTCTAGGAATGTATCCATTTCTTCCAGGTTGTCAAATTCGCTGGTGTATAGTTGTTCATAATATCTTCTTATAATTGTTTGTATTTCTCTGATGTTGGTTATGATCTCTCCTCTCTCATTCATTATTTTATTAATTTGGATTCCTTTCCTTTTGTTTTGGATATGTCTGGCCAGGGGTTTATCAATCTTATTAATTCTTTCAAAGAACCAGCTTCTAGTTTCATTAATCTGTTCTAATGTTCTTTTGGTTTTTATTTAATTAATTTCTGCTCTTATCTTTATTATTTCTCTTCTCTTTCTGGGTTTAAGCTTTATTTGTTGTTCTTTCTCAAGGTGTAGGGTTAGGTTGTGTATTTGGGACCTTTCTTTATTTCTTGAGAAAGGCTTGCATTGCTTTATGATTTCCTCTCAGGATCGCCTTTGTTGTATCCCAAAGATTCTGAACCGTTGTGTTTTTGTTTTCATTTGTTTCCATGAATTTTTAAATTCTTCTTTAATTTCCTGGTTGACTTATTCATTCTTTAGTAGGATGCTCTTTAGCCTCCATGTATTTGAGTTCTACCCAACTTTCCTCTTGTGGTTGAGTTCTAGTTTCAAAGCATGTGGTCTGAAAATATGCAGGGAATGAACCCAACTTTTGTTACCAGTTGAGACCTGATTTTTGGCCTATGATGTGATGTATTCTGAAGAATGTTTCATGTGCAATAAGAAGAATGTGTATTCTGTTGCTTTGGGATGGAATGTTCTGAATATATCTGTGAAGTCCGTCTTGTCCAGGGTGTCATTGAAATCCTTTATTTCCTTGTTGATCTTTTGCTTAGATGATCTGTTCATTTCAGATAAGGGAGGTGTTAAAGACCCTACTATTATTGTGTTATTGTTGATGTGTTTCTTTGATTTTGTTATTAATTGGTTTATATAGTTGGCTGCTCCTATGTTAGGGGTATAGATATTTACAATTGGTAGATCTTCCTTTT